TACTGGGGCTAAACGGAGTCAAACCAATGACTATCACAGATGGCGAAACCCATAGAAGCTGAATGCCCTTTTTGTTGCATTTCGGGCAGCTGTTGTTTTGGAGGTATGGGAAGTGGCACCATCTTCTTGTGGTCCATGTGTTCAAAACTCAGCAGATGAAAGAACGGCGAGAGATCTCGAGAAAAGAAACGTATCCTTATGGATTAAGCCGATCGGAGTGTTTACCAAAAACAGCACCTGCCTAGGGAGGGGGGCACCGAGAGGGTATCCGATGTCTAGCGTGGGTGTCTCGGTGTCGGGCTTGGGGCGGGTTAGTATTAACAGAGGCGCTCCGTCAGTGATGGCAATTAACGCATCTGGGCCCAAGAGAAACAGCTTTGGTAAAATACGAACTAGGCAACAATTCGGATCCCTGTTGCTATTCTTGGCAAAAATTCATCTTTTAATTTACAATATTTATTTAGAAAACAGGGAAAACATGCCTGGGTTGTTGGTTTTACTGCATTATGGCATTCTAAGAACCATTCTGTAAACGCTTTTTACATCAGTGGAGTTTTGAAAAACACAAACAGAAAAGACTTTTCCTTCTGCAGCTTTGGAGACACTCGTGACAACAACCAAACTAGCCCCATTAAAAAACACTGCTTTTGAAATCAGGGCTCATACTGCATGCCCACAATTCACTTCTACTATTAACAGATAACAGTATACCTTAATATGATATCCCAACCCATTCATAAAACAGGTCTGGCTTAACACATACAGTAGATATAAAAACAAGACTATTCTAGTTACACAGACGCGAGTATAATCTGCATATCTGGTCACCCCACAGCTTTGACCCACACAGATGCTGAAATATCTACTGTCTAAGAAAAGTTGCTTTTGGAATGAAATGAAATTTAAGGATTCGAGTTCTAGATGATAAACTAATATTTTTTTTTTGTCTGCAATCGCCTGCCAAAGTACAGTAGTTTCCTCCCCCCCCCTCCTCTCTCCTTTCAGCTGCCGCATCCTTTAAGCAAATGAAGGTGATTAATTGAGGGAAAAGTCTATCTTTAACCAGAATACACAAACTGACACACCAGTAACTTCATCCCCTCCGCTTTGAGGAACAAAATCATAAACGGGAAAAAAAAAAGAATTAATAATTAATGGTAGGATGTCTTTGTTCCTGTGACAGAGGTTTTCTTTACAAGACCATATTAGTAAATCACTGGCCGAGAAGAGTGATTCTTAAATGACGGACTGACAGGGAGGCAGCGGGCAGTTTCCAGTGATAGCGAGCAGTGGGATTAAGAGGTTTCTTGTTTCAGGGATTGGAGGCCATCTGTTCTTTCCTCCTACGTTTTACTTTCATTGAACTATAAGTGCACCTCCACCTTGGGGACCATCGAGAGGAATTTAGAGTTCTACTGCTTTTCATTATCACAAGATCCAGTAACACACTTCATTGTCAACATAATCCCCTTTTACTCCATCTCTTCACTCGCAGAGGCATGCCATAACCACGCATAAAAACCCCAGATGTTAGGGAGCTGATGGGGTCTTCACCTCTCCCCGAGAGCTGGGTTTAAGCTACTTATGACAGGGTGTCAAAGCAGACAGAACCAAGGAACCTACACTCAGCGCTCGGACGGTTTACCAGTGATTTGCAGCACGACCCCACCCCCCCACCGACTCAGCGTGTCACTTGACCACTCACTCCCTGCTGTAAAGAATTTATTCTTTCAGAGTAAACCCCCACAAGATGCATGCAGATTTATCTCATGTCTTGCCAGCATGAACAAAAAAAAACTCTGCCGTAGCTCATCACTTCTGAGGGCAGACTAGAAGAGTTTTATTACAAGCACACATATACAAATCCAGTGTTTTATAAACTGCAAAATCCGGCCTCCTTTGCAAGCCAAATGCAGGATTTGGCTACCTACGATGATCCTGGTACATTTAAGTAAACCAGGGACAGGGGTGCCAGTAAGCACAACGTCAAAGAAAGCTGTAAGAAATAATTCCTGTTAGGAGCCGCCATTGTTTTGTTTGAATTAACTAATGGCACTGAAGGTAGGGAAATCACATTTTGCTGGAACTGAAGTTTCTTATTTGGACAAGTGGACAAAGAACAGAGTTGCCTTCTTTGCATCAGCTTGCTTCTCTAAAGCCATGTTCCGGACTCTCGGGAGACTCAAAAAGTGCTGTAGGCATGCCATGCTCTTCTCCAGGGCTAGAACCAAAAGCCCAGCCTTTAATTTGTGCTTTCATTTAGAAACGCGCTTATGTTTTTACAAAAAACACTTCTGCTAGAAACTGGCCGCTAACAGTCCAGATTCTTCTGGAAATTTCAGCAGTCTGTGAAAGAAAGTAATGCACCACTTGTGTCGCTGGCTGCACAGCTGGGGTTTTGCTATTGTTATTTTTTTGAATTCAAATAATGCCTGACTGGCAGTTCGCAAAAAAAAAAATAACACAGAGGGAATTTAAACTGAGGCATACGTGTGTAATGGATTTGTATGCTGTTGTCATAATAAAGGCATACAGAGAAAAAAAAAACACGAAAAAACTCTTCTCGTCACTAATTATCGTACCTACAGATCCAGCCAGTCTTACACAGTACGTTTGGACAGTTTAAACATATCTGGATAATGGTACACACGTTACTTAATGATAGTTAACAGCCTAGGCAGTGTAACAATATCCTCTACAAAAATACATTAACACAATTATTTAATCTTATACATATAATTCTTCCTCGATTCCAATACATGTGGCAGAAACATTCAGTGCAAGCCCTGTCCTAATTTTTACCCTGTGCTCTGGAATGCACAATGACAGCATTCGTTTTCTTACACTCACAAAAATATATTTAATCCTCCCTCGAGGAAATAAAAACTCACAAAAAACATCTTCTGAGCTATTGCTTACTTATTACAGAGCTTGTTCAGCCCATGATAATCAACGTTTCATGATTCAGAGCAGTCTTATTGACTCCAGACAGAAAGTTTCCTCTGAAACTCACCAAACACTGAAACTCATGACATTGAATCTATTGGACATTCTGTTTATGGTAAACAAAGGGAGAACACTTAGCGATAAATCTCTTTCTGTCACAGTTAATGTGAGAAGTCCATGGCTAAAAATAGTCCTCTAAAATAAGGGATTCATTTTCAGGCGGCTACAATTGTCTCCTTCAGCAGATTTTCCATTGTTGTGTATGCCGAGTGTTTTCGACTGTTTATCAAAGTCAACACATCAAAAAAAAAAAAAAGGGATGAAAGAGAAAGGCTGGTGAGAATCAGCATAGTCCAGAGAGCTCGGCATTGTCTCATTGGGGAGTTATGCAGATTCAAGTAAACAAGTGCAAATTGTTGAGGTTTTAATTAAAATTTTCTACAATCATTTTATCTGAAGTAACCCTATATAATAACATCTGTAAAACAGATGCGC